CTCTGAAATATGGACATACGGTACACACATCACACTGTATTTTTTGAACAATTGCACCAGTTTCACCTCTAGAGTTCAACATTTATACTGGAGTCTACCAGGTGGCAGTAATGCTCTGGTTTGTCAACTGTTTTATCATAAAAAATATCAAAAATAACTTTTATTTCGCAGCAGGATTTTGAATTAATTTGCGTCCTTGTTGTCTCTGCATGATACACTGTCCAATTTTTGATAGCAATTTCTTCTCACAGTATTTCATCAGAACAAGCATCCTAGATGTTTTTCTTCCTCTGCTTGTGATTGGAACCAAAGACAAACTGTGCATATAAATAAACTAAGTGTTCCCGTCTTATTTTGCTGTTGGGAATAAGCAGTGTTGTATTTTTTAAACATGCACATTAGGGATGTGTGGATTTAAGTCCCGACTATTGCCCCTCCATACAATCATGGTTTCATGGGAGTTTCATTGGGATGTTGTTCAATGGGAGTTTCATTGCTGCCCATGATGCTGTTGATAGTCTGCATGGACACAAACCGTACAAAAGACCTGGCAGAGCTTAACAAGCAGGTACAGATGACATCACTTCACATCAATCAACCCTCACAGTCGATCAGGTGAGGAAACATGAATTATGTCTCAAGCTTTTGCTTGCTGGTTTTTTTCCCCCAGTATGGAGTATGTTGTTTGTTGGAATCAGTTTTGTTTGGTGGCTCCTCAGATTGAAGAAGTCCTTTGGTTGAAGAATGAAACATCTCAGCAAAAAATGAAACAATCCAGATGACCTGACTGAACATTGTTGGATTCTATATCTGGATTATTGAGCATGGACTTCGGTCGTTTGCTTGCTGATTTTTCAGCTGCACTACAACATTCAAGGGATTCTCGATTTTACACTCATGATCTGTTTATAATGCAAGCTGTTGATCCAATAAACTTTTTCTGAGTAATTTTGTCTATGGCAATTTCGGTGAACAATAGCAACTGAAGGTTGGCTTATCAACTGTCAAGAAGAAGAAGACGAAAAAGCAAATGAAGAAGAAAACATCTGCAAAAATAAATATCTCTTATTAATATTTCTTTGAAGCAGATGTTCTTGTTTTTCGTCCTTTATTTATAACTCTAAATTGTCCCTAGGTGTGAGTGAGAGTATGAATGGTTGTCTTGTTTGTCTCTATGTGTCCCTGTGATGGACTGGAGACCTGCCCAGGGTGTCCCAAGCCTCTCACACAATGACTCCTGAACATGGACACCAGTGACCCCAATGACCTGGGGTCAGCGTGGTCACAAACATCAGGTCAATAAATGCAGTCATCCACTGAAAGACCCAACTGACCTTCACAGATAGCTGAGCAGATGGTCAAGCAAACTAGGAAGTATGAATTTCATCTAAAGTCCCCATTAGCTACAGCGGTAGGAGACAAAAGTTGTGGTGACACAAAATGTAGGAACACTTGATGAGGTAACAACCTTTTACAGGAAGTCCTATTTAGTTCTAATTCCCTTTAAATCTATGATAATACATAAGTTATTTAGTAAAGCATGTTATTATGCAAGGCATACACACGGGCTCAAATCTGTGTTTTACTCTAGAATCCTGTTATAAGTATCCCTAAATGCTCCTCCTCCCAGGCTCTAATTCATAAACAAGATGATCCATCTGCCTTATCACTTCTCGGTTTGTGTTTATGGATTTTATGTGAGACTTCTCTTCCCATCCACCCAGACTCTGATTCTCCAAACACTCAGCGTGTCTCAGCCCTTTCTGCGATTAATTGCCTCCTTAAAAATCCTCTCCTCTGCTACACACAGTTTGAAGAACAAGACCTTGGTTTTCTGCTAATAATCCCAATGGGCCCAATTTAGTAACTACATTAGGCAAATGTTATCCAAAAGACTTTCAAAGGCTTCAGCCACAATACTAATTTCAGGACTTGCTCGCAGCCGTAGAAAATGTGAAAGTTGTCGAGTGTGTTGAAGTTCTTCTTTGGAAGGCACCCAACGACCCTAAGAAGATTCATGATTACCCATAAAACTCCTTATATTAGAAACTTTCTCATATTGCTAAAGGACTCTCTCTAGAATATTTACCTCCAACATACTAACAGGAAATGAATCCCAACTTAAATCCATTCATATTTGTTTGAAACCAGTGCTGCCATGTCAAATCCCATTTACACTGTACTTTTTCTGCGAAGGACCCCTCCCACAGGTTCTGTATGGACTTGCTGCCCAATCAACACCACCATAAATAGATAGAAATAAAAATCCATATGAACTTCTCATACCTAATTCTGTACAAACAGAATCAGATTTGCTGGAAGTGATAATTGGATTGCGAAGATTCAAATAAAAGAAAAGAAATGGTTGACTCCAGGGAGCATCTTGGTGACTCCCCGTTTATTATATTTGGGTCCCTGGTGATGTGTGAACACAGGCGGACACTGATGTGCACAGTGGATTAGTGAAGTCAGATTCTTTTTGTCCAAATATATTTATTTTAACTTACAAGAAGCATGGTGAAAAGCATTAATGTCCTTCAATACCGACAACAGCAAAGATAAAATATTAAAATGTGTCTTCAAACAGTCAGTTTTTATCTTGACTCAAACAGGTGTTTATGAATGTGATTGTCATTCATGAATTTGTTTTTTGAGGGTTTTGTTCACACTCTTCCTCCACCTCCTTCCTCAAGGAGACCAATTTTGGTGCGAACCTTCAGTGTTATTTCTCGTGTAGGTGGAAGGTATGATGCGCTTCGTATATTTCCCAGAACTGACACCTACTCTCGTTTCATTTGCAGTTTTTAGGAAGGCCTCACAGTTCTCTATTTGTCTTTCAGGTTCACTCTGCTCATATCTCTACAGACCTTGATTTTGTGGACACAATTTAGTTCAGATTTCACATAAACTCTATTTTACCAGCTTTCTCTTTACAATCGTCTAGCCATGCTCGTTTCACCAGTAACTAGCTGGGCTGCTCAAAAAAGCCTGTAGTCGGATATAATGAACGATGATTGGGTCACAGTCAAACACAGATCAAAGGCCAATTTGATTTGAGCTCAGACAGAAAGCATTAGCAAACTCATCATGTTGGTGAGAAAATCTCCATCATTTAGGAAACAGGCTGATCTCTATGGTTTCAGATAAGTAATGTGCTGCAGACAAAACCTCCAAGAGTATGTTCTTTTTGTAAAACACAGCACAGAATCATACATTATTCGATTCATGCCGATAAACAATCATACTTTTTATCATCCACCACCCAACAGCAAGAAAATAATGTTTTACGTCCTGTGTGTGTTTATTTGTCTGCAGTGTTAGCAGAATATCTCATGACCCACTGGACAGAAACTTTCAGAGGGTAATCACTGGATGTACATCTACATCTGTTACTTTTGGAGTCGCTCTAATATAAGTTGGATGCTGCAGTTCATCAATGTTAGCCCACGCAAAAAGGATTCAAACTCTGAGCTAAAACTTTGATAGTTGCTGAGTCATGCTTATCACAAACTTCAAGCACTACACTGACCACATATTTGCTACAATGAGCATACCGAGCATGAACTTTGATGTTTTGAACCACTTTGGCTATAGCTGCCTTAGAGGAGTCGACGGGGGAGAGGGCGAGCCCCAGAAACCATCACCTTCAAACTGGTTGGTCCACTACTATGTGAGTGTGCGGTTTGTGGGACTATGTTTGTTGTGGCTTCTCGGACTGATGAAGTCCTTTAGATGAAGGACGAAATGTCTCAACAACCAAAAAAGAAACCGTCCACATGGCCTGACTGAACTTTGTTGGATGTTTTACCTGGATTATTGAGCATGAACTTTGATGTTCAAGTGCTACATGTTTAAAATTTAACAACACTTGGATCATCACTGTCAACTGACGGGGGAGTGGTAATAAAATCCTCACTTCCTGTGTGGTCCCAGTGGTCAAAGGTTAAGAAAGACAGAAAGAGCTATATGTTATCATTGTATGTTCCCATGCAGTGATGAAATTAGTTCTCTGCAATTCAGATATTTTTTATTGTCATTTGCACCATATGTGGTACATGTGGTGGAGTGAAATTATGTACACAGGGTCCCAGTTACATCCAACAATAAAATGTAAAATAAAAAAACAGTAATAAGATCTAAGATATGAACTAAGAAAAACATCAACTAAAAATACGCTAAGCACTAATAGCATAAAAACAATAAGCCAAACAGCAGCACGAACATGAGTCTGTGTGAGCAGATGAGCACGCATGAACACAGCAACATGAAACAGATCAGCAGCAACATGAAACAGATCAGCAGCAACATTATGTGATTTTTCACAGTGATTATCCTGGTTAGATATTCATGAGTCTAACAGCCTCAGGGTAGAAGCTGTTCCTCAGTCTAGTGGTTCTACACTTAATGCTCCTCAACCTCCTGCGTGAGGGGAGTGGGGTAAAAAGTGTGTGTGCTGGGTGAGTGAGGTCCTTCATGACCCCGTGGTGGCCCTCTTCCTGCATCTAGAGGTGTAGGTGTCTGTGATGGTGGGGAGACTGACTCCAACAGACTTCTGTGCAGCCTTCACCACTCTCTGCAAAGCTTTTCTTTCTGCAGCTGTGCAGCCTCCATGCCACACGTTGATGCTGGAGCACAGGATGCTCTCCACTGCACACCTGTAGAAGGAGGTGAGGACTGAGCTTTAACCCATCACACCTGAGATACACAGGTGGAGCAGTGGGCAGATGTGTAAGCACCCAGGAAGCAATTAGGAATTGGGTGTCTTGCTCCTTGACACCACGACATGTGGGAATGGCGAGCAGTCGGACCGCTACTTTCTTGTCCCAAGTCAGCTGTCCTACCTCTACACCATGCCAGCCCCTTAAACTTGACAAGTTAGCAAAACATTATCTGTTTACTTCTCTAAGACTGAGCTTTCTGTGCTGTACTGATGAAGTTAGTTTTGAGCAGCCATTTCCCTCACAATCCATTGACCTGTCTGCTGGTTTGCTTTGCTGCAGGTGCAGATTCCCACAGCGATGTCAGCTCAGTAAGCGGCGGCGTGCCGTGGGACAGCAGAGAGACGTCCCTGGCAGCTTCTACAGCCGCCTCTCTGGCCTCCTCCCTGCCCCTGAGGGACGTCATGGACTCAAACGACGACGTTAAGCACAGGGACCACAGTGACAGAGGCTCGAATGACTCTGTGGGCAGTGGCTCATCCTTCGAAGAACTGGACATGGATCAGGAGGGGCAGGAGCAGGAGGAGGTGGAGGAGAAAGAAGATGGGAAAGAGGAAGGCCTTTCTAAGGGTAAAGATGAAGGCGGAGAAGCCGTTGAACTGGTGGCTGAGAAGAAGGAGCCCTTGGGAGATGGAGAGGAGTAGGAAGGACGTAACGCTAACATACTTAAGTTTCTCAGCTGGTTATCTATTGATTACTCATGTGGATGGATCTCATCACCGTTCACGTCAAAATCAACATGCCGTATTTCTGCGCCTTTTCACTTTCCACATGAAGCCTGTAATTTCTGTTGAACAAAATGTCGCTTTTTAGAAAAGCCTCCCGATGTATAAACACTATCAGGACAGAGTGACTTCGGGTACTCTGAGGGGTGTGCAGCAAATCAGAGGCCAGATGTGTTTTCAATATGGTGACACAACCTATCACAGATCATCATCCAACAGTACAGTGTTGGGAAATACTGTATGTTCTCCCTATCTGTCAGATTCATTTACAGTAATGACTGGGTGAAAACGTGCAGAAGCTGCTGCTTTAGAAGTTGGTTAAAAAAATGTTCAATGCAAAAAGAAGAAGTTTAGAAGTTAGATGGGACTTCATGACTGTTTAGTTTATTTAAACTGAAAAAGTTATCAAATCTGAGGCAGAGAAATGTTGCAACAACACCACAAATACATTTTAATGAGATTTAATCATGTGAGCCCTTGAAATCTATACAGAATATTTTATTGTCACTCTTTAGATAATTGCATTTTTATGCAATTTTGTCTTTTATACCTCATACTTCTTTTTTTCTCCTTCCATTGTAGCCAAAGTTCTCTTACTAGCAGAGACATGTTTGTTAGTTGTTCTATTAGAAGTGAAGAAATGCATTTCCATGTTTGTTGCTCTTTATGTGGAATAAAATGTTCCAAAAGAAAGTTTTCTTAAGAATCATGCATTTGTTCCATACATGTGTGCCTGTCGAGCTTTGTAATGTGCAGCTTCCTTGGGAGTTTGGTTTGATTTCCACGGCAACAGGCACATCATTTCATCTCCCGACCGAGGATTTTTTTTTATTTGTCTGCTTCCCGACAGTTACAAGAGTTGTAACGGAGCGTGGGTGGCAGTGTTGTTCACGGGCCTGATGAGGCTGTGAGCTCCTCAGAAGTTATTAAGCCTGCACTTAAAGACCAACTGCTTTTAGGGTTTCACAGTGCAATGATAGCAAGTGTCGCTGCTTTGTTTGGGCACAGATATGAACGCAGAAGCTGACTTGTTCGGTGCAACTTGAGCAAATTAGGCACAAATTTTAGGTTTTCAAACGGGAGCATATTCCCTCGGCCCACTTAAACTGTTTAATCAGAAAGCATGAACACATTTAAGACTTTCATTACAGCTGAATCAGAATCATTCCAGCAGCAGCTTTACATCATTCTTTTTTAGTATCTGTATGAAACGTCAACAAGCAAACTTAATATGGCACAACAAAGTCCATGCTCAATAATCCAGGGATACAATCCAACATTTTTCAGTCAGGTCATCTGGACAGTTTCTTTTGAAGAAACTGTCCAGATGACCTGACTGAAAAATGTTGGGTTAATATGGCACAGATTTATCTTTACTCTCTGGTCTTTAATAATGGGTGTCATATCTATACACTGTAAAAATAAAAAAAAACTTGTAAATTTTATGGTACAACGCTGGCAGCTGTGGTTGCCAGAAAAGGTAAAGGCAGGGCAGCCGACTCAGGACCCGAAAGTCCCAGGTTCCATCTCCAGTCATTGCACATCTCGCGGTGTCTCTGAGCAGGACACCTTATCCTCAATTACCCCCCGGGTGCTTTCAATAGCTGCCCGCTGCTCCACCTAGGGGTGCATGGGTTAAATGCAGAGTCAGTTTCACCGTTGTATGGGAACATACAATGATGACAACACATAACACGTTATTATTATTCTTATTAAAAGTACTGTAAAATTACGGGAGAAACATTTTTGTATTTACAGTTTGAAGATATTGTTATTGTTGATTTTACAGTTAAAAATGGCGCTAGAGTCATTGTTGTAATGTAAAATAAAATGTTCTAACTTATGGAAAAAAAAACTGTTTTTCTGTCAAATTTAAAGTAAATTCTGGCAATTTTTACAGAATAAAATAGTATTTTATTATCTTTTTGATAGTTAATCAATTTCACATGGGAAAATGTTGTTTTATAGTACAAACTATACTTTATAGGTTATTTTCACCACTTTTTATTGTTTGTCCAAACAGGTCTCACTTGTAAAT